CAGTCTGGTTAGAACAAAGCTGGATAAGCCTGCGATAAAGTGTCCCTGCATTCAACATGAGAATCAACAACAAAGTTAATTCTGATTTTTGAGCTCTCTGCAGCTCCTCAGTTTCTAATTCAACATCAGTTTGAGCTCGTGGCATAAAAGCAATAAAGATAAGTCCTTTTCCTGTGACTCACTCGGGTTTCCTCATGTTTCCTCCTATGACCTTTGACCTCTGCAGGAAGAGGGCACAATAGATTTAAAATAAGGCTTCCTTCTTCCTGCCCCCTGACTAAAATTACCACCAGGTCCAAGTGAGATGTTTAACACTGTTCAGTTCCCCAATTAACTGCAACAGTCCAAATGTTCTCATGGCTCTTTATTGCTGAGGTAAAAATGCTGACATTAGAACATTTTCATTTTGCTGCAAACCTTCAGGCACTAAAATTAAACATTTTTATATTCTGGATAAGACTGAAAAATAAATATAATTGAAAAAGTAAGGAATTATGTGACCGGGGATTTTGAAACTGATAATACGGCAAATACCTACATATAATTTGTTCAGTGGACACTGATTGTATTTCAAATGTAAAGTTTTATGTATTGAAAATTATTTCAAGTGGAGGAGTTTGAGCATCTGGGAGTCACATTCAGAAAGGAGTGGATAATAGAAATTAATAAATAATAAATTTGGGGAGTACGTGAGGAAATTTGTGTAAAACCAGAGGACCTCATATTTTTTATTCTAACAAACTTAGACCAGAGTCTATCAACTTAGTGGAGTTTAATTGTGACAGTTAATTGATGGGGCAGATGTAGCTGAGTGGTTAGAGCAGTTGTCCTACAATGGGAGAGTTGGGGGTTTGATTCCACCAGTAGTCACATGTTGAAGTGTCCCTGGGCAAGACAATAAACCCCTCATTGCCTCTGATGTGTGTCCCATCGATGTATGAATGTGATCTAAAGCATTAGTCTCTACATAATCAGATTATCTTTGTAGAGCTGTAGTAGAGCGCTGTATGAATGTGTGTTGAAGGTAAATGAGGGCACATATTGTGTTATAAAGAGCTTTGAATATCTTTATTAGATAGAAATGCTCTATATAAGTACAGTTCATTTACCATTTACTGGGATGAATGAAAATTTAAATGACTGTAGGCGGTATCATAAGGATTGCATGCACACAATATTTACAGATTCAAGTTGTCTTTATCTTAGTATGACCTCAGCCGTGGTTGCCAAGGTTACAACATTTAACTCATATTTGTGTTTTTCTGTTCACGCTGCGTTTCCAAAACCTTCTGAATCTCTGGAGAGGCCCGCTTTCCCAAGCAGGTCCAGCTGAGAGTGATTAGTTTCTTATGTAACACACACACACACACACACACATACTGTACACATACACACACACATCTTTCAACAAAGCGGGGAGTGGAACAGGCGTGCACTGCAGGAACTTTATCCAAATACTTTACTGAAACACGTGGAAGCTGATGTCATTACAGCCCAGTTCACAGGAGATCTTCACTGTGCTGACAACTGAAACACTGCTGGACAGACAGACGATGCGTGTTCACACACACACTATACACACTGTACGGTTCGTACAATCCGGTGTGTGTTCACACACCGTATTTTATGCACTGTCATAAATAAAGCCGTCTGTATCTTGTCTTTGTACAAGCTGCAGCTTCTGTGCTATTCTGATTGTTCTTTCCTGTAAATGTGACAGCCTGCAGGTATTTACTTTCATTTATCTTTTTTTTCTGGTTTTACTCGTAAACCGTCTGAGGAAGGAAGACATCTGACGACAGAGAAGGAAGAGAAAGTACAATGAAAAGAAGAAATTACATTTTCTGTGAAAATGAATCTGAGAGCTGAACAACAGCTAGGATTGTTTTAAAAAGACGTTTGTTTTAGACAATAAAATTGAGAGGCAGAATACAAGCTCAAAGACAGAAGTGGGAAAAAATGCTAACAAAAAAGTAGCAAAAAGCTAACTAAATATTCAACATGTTAGCTTGACGTTAAAACAAGCTATACACTACTAAGTAAAAGTAACAAAAGGAAAACTAAATGCTAAAACTTAATAAATAATAACTAAAACTCATAAGTAGAAAAGCCTACTTCAAAGCCCAAAACAGCAAAAGGCCAGCTAAATATAGCAAAGCACAAACTCAACGTAAAAAAATAACAACAATTTGACCAAATTTAGTAAAATGTGAGCTAAAATCTAAAAAGTTAAAAAAGCTAGGTTAAAAAAGACTTTCTAAAATGCCAAAGTTGCATAATATTATTAAAAGCCTGATGTTTCAGAAACTAACTAAAAGCAGCAAAATAAACAAGAAAACTAGAAGTTACAAAAAATTACCCACAAATAGCAAAACACTAGCTAAAATCTAAAAAGTTGCTAAAAGCTAGAGAAAAGTCTTGCTAAAAGCCAAAGTTGCAAAACAATATTAAAAGCTAAGTGTCTAAATCCTGGCTAAATGCAAAAAGTAGCAAAATACTAACCAAAAGGTACAAGTAACTAAAGGCAAGCAGTAATCTAGAAGGTGCAAAAAACATCCAAAAATGGCAAGACAATAGCTAAAATCTAAAAAAAAGCTAAATGCTAGATTAAAATTTTAAATGTGTGCTAAAAGCCAAAGCTGCAAAAATAAATAAATAAATAAAGCTAAACATGTCTAAATGCTGGCTAAATGCTAAAAGTAGCAAAGATTAGCCAAAAGCTAAAAGTAGCAAAAGGCAAGTGATTGCTACTTGCAAAAAACTACCCCAGCAAAACACTAGCTAAAATCAAAAAAGTTACCAAAAGCTAAATAAAAGTTAAAAAGATGTGCTAAAAGGCAAAGTTGCAAAAAATTATTAAAAGCTAAAAGTGTCTAAATGCTGGCTAAAATCTAAAAGTAGCTAAAGGCTAGCCAAAAGTTGAAGTTAGCAAAATAACTTGCCAATTATACAAAAAGGCTAGCTAATGGCTAAAAGTTACAAAAAAAAATACATAAAAATATGACCAGTTTGTTGAATTAGATTTTAAATCAATTTTTTTTCAAAGGACATTTATAAATTTATTAAATTAGTGTTTCTGAAAAGTATAAAAGCTCCAAAAAGTACTGATTGGGTCAAATGTTTTAACATACAAACAGCTACAATTGTCTGCAGAAGTTTGTAGAAGTTTGACTTATTTGGGTATCTTGGTCGACTCACATCTTTCTTTTAAGCTCCATGTGGAAAACTTGGTTAAGAAACTGAAAGTTAAACTGGGTTTCTTTTTCAGAAACAAATCCTGTCTAACCCTGAATGCTAGAAAACACCTTGTATCTGTGACTTTCCTTCCCTCAATTGATTTTGGTGATATTATTTACATGAACGCTCCTACAAGAACCCTGCAGATGTTGGATGCTGCAGATGTTGGATGCTGTCTATCATGGTGCACTAAGATTCATAACTGGCTGTGATTATCGTACCCACCACTGCAC